TCATATTTAGTCTCTTTTTTCCCATTTCTCATTTCACTGGCGTCCAATTTGATATTCGGCGCAAAAATAAATTTTGTAGAAGCTTAGACAGTTTTTAGATAGGGCTTCAAATGGTCCGTTTGGTTGATGAAAATTATTGATATAGGAAATATATTGTCTCTGGATGCAAGACTATACCATTTATATAGTGATTGATCAAAAGGGGTGTGCCTTTGTGTTGTAAGCTATTATCAACTATTGGATATGCAATAAATATTTTTCTTTCTCTCTTTAAAGACTGTTGATTTTTAATTCAACTTTAATTAGTGCATCTCTCTTATCATAAGAACTTACTGGCTGGATTAATTTTAGTAAACCAGACATTGTCAGACTTCATAAATCTTTGTACTCCGCACACATTATGTAAGTTAAATGTATCTCATGATGTATTTCACTAAATGTTCAGTTTTAAATGGTTAAATTATAACAGAATCTTCACCTTTCAATGTACAAAGTAAATAATTAGAATGTAGATGAAGTCAATGCAGTACAAATAATCTTTTAGAATTTCGTAGTGAGTAGTTAGAAGAATGTGGAAAATCCTCATCTTTTTAACCCATCAGAACAAAGTAAAAAATACGTCTCAGTCTGTAGCTCCCCATTGTTAATAGGACGACACATCATTATCAGTTTGTAAGAAGGTTTACAAAACAATAGGTTTTCAATGTAAATAATCATAATTATGATTAATTATAGAAACTAATTTTTAACTCTTAAGATTAGAAATTATGAATTGCCAAAATTTTCCAGTCAGGTTGCACTTCACTCCGCAACTTGATATTTTTATGATATTTGGTTTGTTACCTCAGTGTAAATAAAACTGCAAGATAAACATATTTGAACTTTTCAAACTCTTTTGTCACAATAAATCAGATGCTCAAGTGCAATTAGTGTTTTATTTTCTTTCAATTTGAAAATTCGGAATATACTTCAGACTTTTTATTTGGGTTATTAAATTATTCTTCAGAACTTCCTATCCAAGTTGCTCATCAAGTTTCTACTAGGTCACTAAGTACCATAGTTTGATAGATATTGAAGATTTAGATCTTTTTATTTTTACACGTATAGCCCAAGAATAAGAGTTCATTAATTATTAAATTTATTTATTAAATTTTAAAATTTAATTTAATTGCTTCTATTTTGCTTAGTCTTTGTTTTTATATAGTAGAATTCTCTAAGAAGTATGTTTTTTCTACTCTTATCTCAAGCTCTATCTACTCTTATGTCAAGCAATATAAAGGAAGATTTCTTATGCAAATGACTAACAGACATGTGAGGTAGAAATAAAAAATAATAAGTTTGGAAAATTAATGAAAACCTCAAATGTGTGAGAATAGAATACCTATCTGAATCCTTTATGACAAAAATGTGAAGTCTGAAATTCTCCTTTTTTTAAAAAATTGGGCAGAGTTTTTAAGAGACAAAGTTGAATTAATGATGTAAAAATATTTTCTTTGTTATGCATTATTTGCCGTGTTTAATTGAGTCTAATACCATCAGGTTCTGAGTACATTATTGAGCTTAATAAGCCCCATGATTGAATAAGCATAAACCAACCGGATGTTTGGAAAGTAAGAATACAAACACTCAGAATTCTATTAGGTGTTTATTAGATGGATACGAACTGAAAGTGTGTTGCGTACTATTTCACAATGTAGTCTCCTTTTTGGTTCAGATGTTTATTCTAGTGCTTCCTGAGATTCACTATGAGGGATTGGGGGACTTGTTAAAATTTAATTCTTACTTTATTTTGTGCATTATCAGAGTGTAACCTGTATCCTCCATGATGTTTTTCAAAGAAGTGAAGCAAACACCTCACGCCAATGCCAGCATATTTTGTCGTATGCGATGCCTTGGTTGATTCAGGGCAGAACGTGCTTCATTAGCACTTTTTCTTTACTGATACCTCTAGACCTTTCTGTCGTTAGTGTCTTTTTGCATGATTCTTTCAATTTGAAGATCCTTTTCACTTCCTCTGCCTTCTTTTTTCATACAACTTCACCGATCCATTTTATTATTATATGTCAGTAATTGCTACATTCCTGTTTTTGTAGAATTCAACTATTTATTGGTAAGATCATCAGGATTTATTCTTTTGGCGAGTCAGAAAAGTTCAATCTTTGTGTTCAATTAATACTGTATATCTATATCTTTGTCTTGGAAATTGTGGAAAGTTTGTTCATTATTGGCCAAAACGGGATATTATATCACCCTTGTTCGAATTTCATTGCTCTTCCTGTAGGTATACGGAACTCTAAAGGGTATTAATAACAAAGTTGAAAGTAGTGAAAACACCTTGCCCACTTTCATTCAGAGCACAAATATTTTTAAACTGTTAATGTAAATGTGACACTGCCCTTTGTTTCTGAGGAACTTGTCTATTGCTTTATTTTGTGCATGCTTTGGAGATCACTAGTGAGTTTGACAAATTTTTGTTTCATTTTAATTCTTTTTTTTTCTCTCAGGTTTTCAATACCTGTTTTTTCTGAAATTACAGACCACATTGAGGGCACTGAATGTTTTAAAAACATTGGTTGAGTTTTCACTGCTAGTTTGTTTAAAAAAAATGTGTTAAGTGGTTTGATGTTTTCTTCAGTCTGTCACAATTCATAAACTTTTTGTCATTGTTTAATTTGAATTGGTATTGTTTTTTGGGTTTGTTCCCCGGGGGAAATAAGTAGCATTTTATTTTGATTTTTAATGACTTAGAACTCAAATAAATTGATGTGATAATGTTGCAGTGAGATGTGCAAGGTTTAAGTTTTGAGCCCATGTATTAGAAAAATTCTGATCATGCCATTGTGCTCTAGGCATTTGTAAGACTTGCCAGTCGTGCGGAGCTAGTACATACTATGATTAGATTATGTGTAAGAGGCAATTTAAAGAGTAACTGTCAACTTCACCAGTTTCCTTGGTCTCTGAGAGTGGAGAATGATGAACCAACCCTAGGTTAACAAATTGTCTGTCTTTGTTCTTTGTTCTGCATTCCTCTTCTTTACTTGAGTATTGTATGTAGTTCAAATATGAAGTTTTTAATCACATTTGCAATAATGTTTCATTCCATCAAAATGCACGTTCCTACTGTTATCTTGAGTGTCATATCCATTAAATTTTAGTTTAAAGTGTCTTGCACATAATCTGGTATAGTTTTTTTTTTGTTCTATTCATAGTGAAACAATACTACATAGACTTTATAACATTGCAAGAAATCTGCTGTATCAAGATGTTAATTCAGCCAGTGAATATTATATTAGTTGTGTTGTACATGGATTCCAAAAGTTATTTTTGTCCCAGTTTTCTGCCAAGAGAACATGGATCGTCATGGATTCGCGAGGTATGATGTAATTTTCTTTTACTGAGCGGCTCAACGAACCTTCTATTTCATTTACCCTCTGCCACGTCTTCCGCTTTACGCATGAACGATCGTATGCTTGTGACCATTGTTGTGACCATAAAACGCTTAGCGATTGTTGTGGCGAACATTTTATCAGTTTTTGGACGCTGACACATTTCAGGACTGCGTAGTGAAGCGAGATGTACCGCATTCGATAAACGTATTACGCATATTATTTTATCTTCTTTTCTTCATTTTACGATGCCCCTTATGAAATGGATCGTGTTGAGCAACAACGTCGAACATCAAAGTTCACAGAAAGTTGTATATGTTTTCACGATGTAGACTTCAAAATTGTGTTTATTGTGCACGCAAAGCAACAAACTATTATTGTGTGGCATCGAGAACGTCTGGTTACGAGTTCACGTGAAATATATTTGCATTCAACGACCATTAAGCCACGTCCACACTAGTAAATCTTTGCGCGCAGCGATGTTTGTGCGACACATCGTGTTCGTGCTGTGTGCGTCGCGACGCGTGACAGACTGTGGTGGTGTCTAATATGCGTCTATGATGGTATGTGCGTGTTCGCCTTGTGGTAGTGGTTTTTCGGCTGCAACTCATTTTTCATTCTGAGATGGTGGATTAAGATAAACGCTTCGCGGTCGTGTGAGGTTATGTGACCTTCTGTAAACACTACACTTGAACGCATCCTGTCCACACTACAACTAATTTGCCGCGCAAGTTTCTCTCATGTGCGTGGAAAAATCGGCAGAGTGCGGGTCGCTATATATGGCGTCAATTTTTGTGCGCGATCCCAGTTCGCCGTTCTCGTCCATCCTACAGGAGTCCAGTTCGCTCACGCAAAAGGTTTACGAAGTTCGCGGCGATTGGCGTAAATTTTTGCAAGCGTGGAGAAGTGCAGGTGAGACACACGAGGTGGAAGGGAGAAGAGAGAGGCACTGCGCGAACGCGATTTTGTCCGTCCAGGTCAGCAGACTTCGTTGCCAGGTTCGAAAACAGTTGAGCAGCGCCTAAGACCGCATCGATCTGCGGGATCCGCAGGTCTTACGCTTCGACATGACAATTCAGTGCGTGCAGTTGGAGGTTAGGATTAATTTTCACGTGTGATTTACATTGTTCCAGTATCGTTTCTAAAAAATAATTGATACAAATCATGCCGAAAAGCAGATGAGAATTTGCATGCGTGTGAATTACGCCACGAAACGAAAGTGACGCTTTGATTGGGTACACGTGGCGCATTGGGCGAGTGCAAGGGACGCATTGGATAGGTGCGAGTGGTTGTATTAGAGGAGTGTAAGTGCCGCATTGGGTGTATGAGAGTTGGATGTGCACGAGTGGCGCGTAGGATGAACGGTATGGGTGCGAGTGGGACATTCGACAGGTGCGAGTGGCTCATAGGACGAGTGCGAGTGGTACTTTGGATGTGTGTGAGAGGCGCAATAGGTAAGTCCGAGTGGCGCTTTGGATGTGTGGGAATAGCACTGTGAGTGCAAGTGGCGCATTGGATAAGGGCGAATTGCGCATTGGATTACTGCGAGTAGGGCTTTAGATAGGTGGGAGTGGCGCATGGGGTGAGTGCGAGTGGCGCTTTGCTGGGGTGCGAATGGCACTTTGGATGAATGGGAGGGACTTTGGATTGGTGCGGATGACACTTTGGATTAGTGCGTGTGGCGCATTGGAAAAGTACGAGTGGCTATTTGGAATGTTGCAGGTAGCTTATTACTTCCAGTCTGCTATATATTTTGCCTATATACCTTTATATTGTGAACTCACTAGTTCCCTCATCAATCTAAGAATTGTGATACTCCTTTAATTTATTTGTTTATGGGTACATTCTTATCACTTGTACCTTTTCCTTAATTCAGTCTTTACAAAACGAGACTGTCATCGTCGACGTCGACAGCAATCATTTTGCTGAGAAAACTGCCAATTCGCACCGTGATTGTTGCCGCGATATGGGAGTGATCAAATGAACTTACCGCATTTGTGCAAAACGTTAGGCACTATTTCGTATAAATGAATCCACTTTCGTGCGATGACGAATGCGTAAAATTCAATGTTACTGTAGAGTTGCCTGCACCAGAACTATCGTGTGTAGTAATGTGGCTCTCTGATGAATACGAGACTAGTCACGTGATCGAGTTCAATGGACTATTTTCGTGTGACGGCAGTGTAGGGTGAGCACATTACATTTTTTCGGTGATGCAATATGTTGGTGGACAGTTCTATTCCAAAGACCTTTTTACACGGTCATATTTTCATATTTTTTTTATCAGTGCAGAAAAGTGACGAACAGAGGATGTAATTTTTTACAGAAAGAATGACTTAAGCTTAATTTTTATGTTCTGATTTCATCCAGTTTGACTACCGCGCTTCTATCCAGAACCTTTTCGTCTATTTGAACTATTGCGTCATTATCCGGAACTTTTTCTAGTTTGCTATGCCCGTAGTGCAATTTTGAGAGCGTTCTAATATGTTTAAATATATTGTGAAGTCATGTGGTTAGAGAAAATGTAATGTGCTTACTCCTAAAATAATCTTATATTGTTACCATAAGTTCAAGTTCGATCTGCAACACTTTTTGCGGCGTCCATAAGAAATATCATTATTACGTGCAGATAAAGACGTTACCGTGTAAAATGCCGATTCTTTCATTCATTTTCGATTTCGAAAAAGTAGAAACGCACGTCGATTTTTCTGTCGAGAAAAATGACGAGAAAATGGCAGTGTAAAAGGTGCTTTATAAGTGCGAATCAAGAGGATCTGGCAATGTGAGAATTGAGTTCCGAACTACCAATTATCGTAGTGCCAACGGGGAAGAAAAAAAAAACAACCCCGTTCGTGAATATTTCGTTCTAAATTGTAGTGTAACGTTTCTCTGGAGAATTAAAACCCACACACACAGGTATTTATTTAAACAACATTTATTTGTACAGAATTATACACTAAAACTACTTGATCTATTTACAGATATACTACACAGTTCTTGTGTTTTTCACTTAATTATTTTTCTTACAAACGTATCCGCTCCCTTGATTATTTATTTACACAGTTCACTTCTTCTGATTATTTATTTACACCGTTCTCTGCAATCTATACTATCGCACAGTCCTGTGCACTATCCACGGTCCACTGCACTGCTGTTTACCGTGATGCACACTTCACAGCTCATCTTCCACTTCTGACTGCTGATCACCCACTGCACCACTGCTCACCGCAATACACACTTTACAGCGCAGCTTCCATTTCAGGCACACTGACGGACTGCTTATTCACTCATTACATACACTAACCGATTCGCGGCTGCTTACTTCCGACCACTCTTACACTGACATACAGACTCGCGGCTCCTTACTTCCGACTACTACTTACACGACTGACTACTGACTCGCGGCCGCCGGCAGCGACGAATTTATACCTGGCGGGCGGCGGGTGAATTTGTTGCCCCCATCAATCTGACTTATGCAAAGAAAGTTTCTGAGATAATCTGATTCAATCTTCCAATTAAAATGTATTTAATACAATTCTATATATAGTCTAATAATCCAATTGGTGATGAAACCTAGCGTAAAATACCGCGGTAAAAACCGTTCACACCGGAGCGTCAATTATCACTCAGCGAATGGTGACAGTTTTCCGTCATCTGATAAACAAAGGCAAGGGAGCTCGAACAAGAAAGGAAAGAAGACGGGCGAAGACGGGAGGCCTTCCACGAAACTCGTGCGGCAGCGGCCGAACCGCTTCCGACTAAGTTCGAAAGTCCGCAGATAATAAAACTGATAATCCGCTGCCTCGACGCTCGCCTGCCGCGCAGGTCTGAACGTGCTCGTAAGGCAACACGTGACGCGAAATTTCCGCAGCGGCCATTCCGCCTAGACTGCGGATCTTCGGCGCCGGTCTATGCGAGCTTTTACTATTTTCCTAGGAGACGTCGATTTACCGTCGCTTCACAGGCCCCAGCGAAGCTCAAATCACTTAATGCTGGCGGCAAGAGTTTCTCAAGATGTATGAAGATTTGTTTCCCTTAGTTAATAGATGATGAAACCAGCTTTCGAGACATCAGCGACGCTCGATCTGAAACAACGAATCAGCTTAATCGTCACGTCACAAGAAGTTCCATCGATAATAGTAATATTACCGTTCTGCCCATTGATATGCAAATTGACCTGAACGATGCTGATTTCTCGTCCGAGAATAGCAAGCTATGGTACGTACTGGCTTGTGAACTTCGAGGATATTAAGAGAGGCCTTCGTTAATTTTTTCTAACATCAGTACGGTGACGCGCCGATGAAAGCTGATTGACCTGTATATCAAGAATTATCAGTTTTATATGCTCACTAAACAGTACGTAAAGAAGTTCTATACGAAAGTAAATCATGAATTACTGACTGGGTACTAGTGATACGCAGAAAGAAACGATTATGAAGTAAATTTAAATTTACTAACAACGCAACTACAGAGGTACGCAACCCAACGAAATTCGAAGACTCGGAGGAATTTTGAACAAAATATATCTAAGGCCAAACGCTGTACACGTACATTCGCAAACTGATTCCTTCTCAAGTTTCTGTCCCTTATACTCTCCAGAAGGAAGATAGTAAAATCTGCTTTGGATCCTAGGGATGTCGCCGAGGTCTATGCAGACTTTTCAATTATTCTACACTTTGTAAACATACGATTCTCTCCCTCCCTTTATCTTCATTTCCTTCTGAGGAAAGACATTGACGTACAAGTTGCTGATATCCACAGCACCCCAGTTTCGGTAGGACCCAAATCCTCTGTTGGCGCTGTTGGTAATCCGCCCTTATGCTGGAACTATGCACAGAAGAACTCCAGCTCTGTAATATATGTCGGGATTCCCTTGACTCCTGAGTTTCGCCATTGCTCTGGAAAACTGTCAAACTTACACTCGTTTTTCAAAAAGGTAACAAGTTGGATCTCGGTAGCTACATGCTCATCGTCTTGACCTACTCGATATATAAGATCCTCGAGCGCATTGTGGTGAATTATATATTCTTCTTTGCTCGGAAATTTGGACGCATTTCCACACATCAACGTGGCTTCGTACCAGGATGACTCATATTGACAATTGTTATCTTCACTGCAATATTGGACAGCGGATTAGGGTAATGGCAACCCATCATAATTGGATTTAAAGCTTTCAATAAAGTACCGCATCGCAAGCTGCTTTACAAACCTGCAATTTTGGCATAAGGGGAATCTTTTTGCGTTGGCTACAGTATTTCCCCGAGGATCGCCGATTTATGTGAGAATTCATTCAGTAGATATCACTAAAGGACATCCCCAAGGCTCTGTATTGGGACCGTTATTGGTATCTTGTTTATTTTGCATACTAGCGACGTGCCAAACTATTGCATTCTCTGCATTGGCTGACCATCCAATTGGCAGCTGGATGGAGGGGGCCCTCATATTTTATAAACATGTGCGTAGTAAATCTCCGCGCATGTCGCCCTGAGGAAGATGGCCGAGTCGAGGATGTACTATATCGTCTCGTAGATCTGTCACTGCATTCTGTTTTAACGAATTACCGCTCTACAGTAAAGGAGGTAAACCGTATACCACAGATTAGCGAGGGGAAAGCCACTGAGAGATAGTTGCACCGTGAACACGTCAGGGAAGTATTAGATAGTGCTCCCCGAAACGACTTCAAATATTCCCTGGAAGATCATGGGAAAAGACAATCAGCAGTATGCGGATTCGGCCGCTCACCGCCACGATAGAAGCACCAACAGATGGTGATGTGATGGGCACCAGGAGGATGAGATTGCCGCCGAAGGAGCCGACTTGATTCCTAACCGTAAACCCGAAACCTCATATGGGGATCCATCCCAGTCCTCATCCTTATCCAATGATGACGGATTCATTGTGGTGAAACGCATCTGCGCAACATTTACAGCCTCTACCAACCTACAACTTCCATCATTTATTTCCAAAATCCGTTTCGACCCTCTGCAATCTTCGAATACTCCTGACCCATCTCAAACCAACCCATTCCACCATGACTACCATTACCACCATCACCCGTAGACCAAGCAAATGTAATCTCAAGAAACCGAACGGGAATGTTCAGACTGGACCTGAATGAAATCCTTGACCTCAGGGTTTATGAAACATGTAAACAACCAGATGACAGTAAAATGCACGCAAACGCAACGTCTGATTCAGCCGAAAACCATCGTAGCTCACAAGAATGAAGACGAGATTCTCTTGAAAATAAGGAACGACCCCACACTAAGAGGACTGTACTTTACTTCAACCATCTATTACCATTTCAACAGAGAAACAGTGGAAATCGGGACTACCACCCAACTACACCCTAGATGACATAAAAAAGCTATCTAAAAGGACTGAACATCACCCAACACCACCTAACTGATAAGCAGAAACGGACAAACGAAGATTCTTGGCATTTATATCATTGAGGTCAACAAAAAGGTCGTTCCTGACATCAAAGCAAAACTACGATTTATAGGACATTACGGCATTAAACCTGAAGAATTCAAACAAAATGACAGTACCACAATGTTGGAATTGCCAAAAGCTCTACCACTTAAACCTACTGCAGGGATCACCTGTTTGTGCACAAGACTTCACTGAAGAATGCCCACACGTGACAAAACCAGATTTTAAACAGGCTGTGTACTAACTGTCACTTTCTCCGCCATGCCTTTGAACAAATATGCCCTTACATGATAAAAGCCAGTGAGTACTATTCGCGCAAGATTTCTTGATACACGAGCTCCCTAGTCCTCATCCAGCGCTGAATAGCACGCACGTTTGAGATACTTAGGTTCGACTCGAACGGCACGTACCATTTACAATGCTACACAACCACCTCGTACTTTCAAATCAATCGTAGCATTTCTCGTGAACGTTTTGGAGAGTTAAGTTCATGTCTACAATTGGTACGCCCTTTTAAGCTGACGTAGCCAGAGCCCTCCTCTCCTCGCACCCCCCCGCTGTGGAATATCAAGAAAACTTACGCGTATAGTAGATTCACCATAACCACCCACCCCACCTTCAACAAAACAATCCGTCTTTAATTCAAAATTTACCAGGACAACAATTGACCAAACCACCTACACCTGTAACAAAACAACTCATAATCTGAAAAAAAAAGTTTTCTGACAACCACCCACACCCTTTGTGCTCATCCCCGTATGGGGGAATAGGATGTACTAAACCAAGAAGAACCAACAAAAGAAGCTATTCTAGGATTTATTTTACCGTGCACTTGGCGTAAATTATCTGTTCACGGGTTCATCCAATCGGGAGCTTGAACGTCTCATAGTGACGTCTCTGTAGCAAAATACAAGCTCCCGATTGGATGAATTCACAACAGCTGATTTACGTTAAGTGCACGACTAAGTAAATCGTACTATAGACTTGAGGAATCCCGGCAAGGATAGGCATGTATGACGAACATGCCAAAGATAGGGAAGATGGCATTACGGAGGTCGGAAAGTGCCTACTGTGCTTAAGACGCGGCGTTTTCCCGGCAAGTATTCATTGACTCCGGCCGCGAAGCCTACGCTTTTACTTGGGAGAGACTTGGCTTTTCGACACTTGCTGTTCGAAGACAATGAGGCGATATGATTGGAACCTTCAAGATTCTGAATGGACATGGCAACAGCGACCTTGTCAAAGTTTTTCGTCACTCCGAAAATCTGCAATTTCATAGCATGAATCCTATGAAATGTATTCATACTCTAATAAAACTCAAGACTTTTCAGGCAACCAAGAGTTCGCTTGCTGGAATATTATATCCCAGAATGTAGTAATGAATGGCACCTAGTCTTCACGTTTTCAAAAGTGTTTACGATCGTCTCTTCAGCGAAGAAGGACGTGAACCCGTCTGATCTTCGGACTGTTTTTCATTAGTTATGGCAGTTAATATACTTGATTACGTATTCCCAGTTTATCCGCATTATTGAACTTGTAATGGCGAATTTGTTCACGGAGATGTTATTCTATGGTTCGACCCGTCGCGCCTATGTAACAGTGACCGTAGCCGCATGGGATCTCATCTACCTCTGATGATGTGGTGATTGATGAATCAACCTTAATATTGAAATTATACAATTACAAAAATATTCAAAACAAAAATTCTGTGGGCGATAACGTTCACATGCCAAAGAAAGGGAAAAGGGAAGATGGCATTACAGAGGTCACCTATGTCGTCATTATTGGTCACCTTTACCGTTATCTTTATCGTTTGGACGTTGTACGGTCTTAAAGGAACTATCACTGTAAGGTTTCAATATAGTTATATTTAACATTGTTTTATAGTGGCGAAGCTAGTCATCCAGTTGGGTATTCTAAAAACCTTATCTTACACTTCTTTTCTGTAAATTAGCTCCTTTGATCGTTCTTTCGCACAAAAACATCGATACTTTATTCTGTAAAGCTGTCGCGCCTGCAAAGTTAATTTACCAGGCACCTCTCGAAAACCAATGTACAGAAATTACCAACCCCGATATTTCCCAAGGAATTTCTCAGGAATGTCTTCACTCCCTTTAATGTAATATTAATTTCACATAATGCTGTAGATCCAGGGAACGTTAAACTGAGTTCTAACAACCGAACCGTCTTTAGATAATTTTTTTCTAAACTACTTTGTCCTACAACTCTGCAGGCTTGTATTTTGAATTATCCATGTATACATTTGTCAGTTCATTTGCTGCTCACTGTCAAAGAATGGATATTGTTTTATTAGGAAAGAAAACGTTTCTGAACGAAAAGACGCTGTAAGTAGAAAACTGCTTTTCGTTAAGAAATTCAATAAAATGAAAGTTCTCAAAATCTTGAAACCTTTATTCCATCTGAGTCACTACTGTATCTGTAATTTTAAAAGAAACAATGTGACTTCTTCATAATTCTGATCCTGAAAGTTCATTCTTGGTTGTGGCTGCTTTGATGCAGACTTCAATAGTCATTCACATTTAATACGGCATATTACCACGTACCATTACTATTCTATCTATCTATCTCGATTACTGGTCTCATGATTCCGCTTTGTTGAGTGAAAACTGCATTTCGATATCGTCAACCGGAAAGTTAAGGGAGTGATCCATAGTCAGTGGGACATTCTCTATAACACCAAGTCTTTAGCTTCATTAATTGTTTTGAAAAGAGAACACGAACAACTCACTCTACTTTCCCACGTTAGGTGATGAGGTGAATTTGCCTGGCCGCGATATGGACGTGCATCGCGGTATAACTTTGCGCATGCTGGGAGCCAGCTGAGGGTCTGGACCGCGATTTTCGCAACTGTGCCCCTGACAGGTATCAGTTGTTGACAGTTTCGTCCAATCGGGAGCTTGAATGTCGCCATAGGGATGTCACTATAGTATGGTATGGCATGGTATCTTATCTTGATAATTTCATCCAATCGAGAGCTTGAACGTCACCAAAATGACGTCGCTATGGCGACGTTCAAACTCCTGGTCGGATGAAACAGTCAACAGCTGAAACCTGCCTGGGGCATTGTTGCGAAAATCGCTCAAAGTAAAGGCTCCCTATTCAGTTCGTGTGAGTGAGAAGGGGGTAGCGCGCGACCTCTTGAGCGCATGCGCAGCAGAGCCAGCCGGCCTATTCACGCAGGGTAATTTTACTCGCCCAGCTACCGTCCCGCTAAAACCCTCGCACGTAGGCGGGGGAAAAAGAGTCGAAAACATTTAATTATATTTAATGATTCAGTAAAAGAAATATTGTAAAAATGGCACACAAACGACGGAGCAATAATGTGGGTATTCTAAGGCTCCCAGATTACCTCTGAACTTTGCTACTGTTGTTTTACAATAATTTCTGTTTATGAAACCTGAAGAAGAGGAATAGTACTCTTTGAAACGTTGAGATGTAGGAAACTTAAAATTAAGAAAACATGTGAATAAAATTCAATCTAACTTATGCTTGCTAATTAATGTCTTTTTAGTTTCAATATGTTTAATTAAAAATGACTGTCTTAAAATTAATTTGGGCTAAAAATCTAAAAATAAAAGAAATAGTTGTTCAATTTTTTTATGAGTTTTAATGGGAGACTCATTTCTTTGAGAATCATGTGAGTGTTAGCCAATGTCACAGTGGTCTACCATGCAAGTATGTTAGTGACTGACAAAATGATACGTAACTATTTATTCTTAGAATCTGTCTTTTTTATTTTCAGAATGATGCTGGTTCCTGTGAATTGGCTTCTTGAAGTTTCCCATTTCTGACATGGCATGTGATAATAAAAACTACACCTTCTTCCGTTATTTATGAGTGTGGAAATCGTTTAAAATCCCAGCACAAAAGATTTTAGTCACTGAGCCAAAGAAAAATATAACCATAAAAATGGTTGATACTGAGCTTAGTGCTTCTGAAATTTTACTGAAAGAGCCAACAGCAATGTGTTTTATGGAGACAGAAAAGTTTAGAGAAATTGAAATTGCCAAAGTTGTTAATGATGTTGAGGAGAGTAAACATGTGAAAAATCAGTCAGTTGTTCAGCACATACAAGGAAATAAACCTGCAAATCCATTCCCTGATTCTCCTATATCTTTGACTGAATCTAGTGACTCCAGTGACTTACCTACCAAACGAAATGCAAGGAGGAAAAAAAAATTGTGCCCTCGCAAAGTAAAGAGAGTTAAAAAGTTTTGTAATGATAGCATATATGAAGTGGAGTACATATTGGATTATGTTGAATTTGAAGAAGATGCCTTTTATTTAGTGAAATGGAAAGGTTGGGAATCAAAATACAATTCTTGGGAACCAAAAGAAAATGTTAATAACTGCCAACATATTTTAGATGAGTACTTTTCAAGTGTATATGGTGGCTGTATATTCTCTAGAGAAACTATTGATTCATTTGGTTGGAGTCTGGTAAAACCAACAAGGCAAACACTAGAGGAGTTAATGCCTTCCTTAGTGGTGGATGGTGGTGTGCAATACCAAGTGCCATCTTTAAGGAAAGTGTGTATGGCTCTTAGTTCTCTGCTTAGTGTAGCTGAGTCTGATAGAAGATCTGAGACGCTGGAAACTGTGAAGAAAGATATCATGCTGCGGTGTTTACATGTGAAGAGAACAAGACAACTTAAATCTCTTAAAGAATGGGAGGATGAAATTAATGCATCTTCTAATACTGCTGCAGACATCAAAGTCGAGAACATTGTAGATTTGGAGGGCCCACCGGAAAACTTTTTCTATGTAAATGATTATATCCCTGGAAGTGGTGTTTCAATCCCAGATGAACCACCAATTGGATGCAGTTGTACAGTTTGCAGTGCAGAAACCTGCAGTTGTGTTAAAGAGGCAGGTACCCAGTTTGCCTATTGCCCTAATGGCACAATAAAAATTTCTTCACGTTTTCCGATCTATGAGTGTAACAAACTTTGTAAATGTTCAGACAGTTGTGTAAATAGAGTGGTTCAGAAAGGATGTAGGGTGAAACTGAGCATATTTCGTACTAGTAATGATTGTGGGTGGGGAGTAAAAGCTTTAGAAAGTATTCCAAAAGGCTCCTTTCTTTGTGAATATGTAGGAGAAGTTATAAACACTGAGGAAGCAGAAGAAAGGGGAGAAAAATATGATTCTGTAGGACAAACCTATCTCTTTGATTTAGATTTTAATGACAAAGAGCATTGTCCTTATACTGTTGATGCAGCAGTCTATGGGAATATTTCACATTTCTTTAATCATTCCTGCAGTCCAAATCTCACAGTGTATGCAGTATGGATTAATTGCTTGGATCCAGATTTACCAAAATTAGCATTCTTTGCTAAAAAGCCAATCCATGCTAATCAAGAAATCACGTTTGACTATCATGCTCAAACAGTGATTCCTAGAGCCTCTACATCAAATATTATTTGCAAATGCAGGTCTACAAATTGTCGAAAATATCTTTTCTAATTATAATTTTGTATTTACAGTAATAGAAATTTAAATATGAAATTTTGGTTTTAGCAATTGCATAATGCATCTTTAATATACTATGAATTAGTAATGAATATTTGTACTATTTGTCATAAGCGAATGAAATATCTTTTGTCATGCTAAAATGAGGAAATTTTGAACAATAGCAATAAATTATATCTTCTATTCTTCTTAAATTTTCTGACATTATCAGGATTATTATATTATTAGAAAAGGATACATTTCTTAAAGGAATAAAATCTTTGTGACAACATTGTGAAATTGTTATAGGAATTCACGCAATACAGTACCATGTATATTGGATGTTAGCAATTTTAAGTATGTGTTTGTAAACTGGAAGTTATTAAGTGTATGTTCAGAATCTAAAAGAAGTGAAGTGTGAGAATTAGCTTTCACAAACATACATTTGTGATGACAAATTCATTCATGGCATACTCACTCATTTCTTAAATTACTTTTTATCTGATGTAAAGTGTTGTTGATAACTACTTAATGTAAAATTTTGACTGGTTAATTTTGTTTCCTTGAAAAATTGGTGATCAAAACTATTAGCATTGGTCTTGAAGAAATTAAGTGTGCTGAAATGATTATTTGTGTTTGTGGAGTAATAACATTTTCATACAGTTCTATCACAGATTTGGCATCAAATTTTCAGATTATCAAGACAGCGTTTGCTCAATTTTATCATTACTGTCTAGGTGTAATTTATTAAAAGAAAATGAAATGAAATACCATTTCTACATTGTTGATCATGTTGCGTGCTGAGAACAGTTGTGTCCTAACTCTGAAAAACATTGCAAAGAAGTTCTGAGACATTTACTGGGTTATTTATTTACATCCCCTTGTAAATAAGACAGTAGTGTATTCTGGCAGAATTGAAATTTTGTGACAAATAAGTGATTTTTCACTTATGTGCTTCAAGAGGCTATTCATGAACCTTCTGTCTCATTTCCAATGATTTTGGAGTTTGGAGTATTGTTCGCATCAAATGATACGATGTAAACTTTTATAAAGTTTTATTTACCTTCATATCTGTGTTAAGTTTTTAGAGAAAGACAGTACTTCATAAAATTATTTTGTGTCTGTTTGTTTGTTATATGTAAGATTGAAAAGAAAATTGTGAGAAATATGTCTGTCTTAATTAATTATGCTCTTGTATATTGTTGATTTCCTGTTGTATGTTTATTCTATAAATTGTTTACACTTCATGGTTTTCTGTTTGATGTGTCATCTCTCTGGAAATAGTTTATGTCTGTTAATATTCTCTTGTAATTAGAAGAACATCAGAACCTCAGTTGAAAGTATTTAGTTGATATAATTAATTTTTGTTTATTATACTATTTTTCTTTGTTTGAAAGTAAACTCTTCACTGTTTTGTTGGAGTTAAATGTATATTATTAATTGTGAATTTTTACGTGTTTCTTGTTATTTTCTATATGTTACTTTGATCTCTGAATGAACATTTTTTATTAATAATTTCTTTTTGCCAAGCCACTACATTTGTCATTGAGTGAATGGTTTAGCTGTTTAGTGTTCAACATGTAGTGTTAGCATTCCTGTTAAGTTGTGCTGCTGTAATCATGTTAGCATTGTTCTTTTTTTTCTTCAATAATTTTCCAAAATGTATTTCAAGTGATACTGAAATATGAAAATGTTTTATTTTTGAAGATATTCAAACTTTGAAATGATTTTTCTTTTAATTAAGTTTTAAAGTATATTGTTAAATTTTTTCTGGAAGAAAATAACAATTAGTGTTTTTCTTTGAAATCATTCAAGACAAACATCATTTGGTCAATTTTAATTCTACAATCATGATTGTGTAATTTAATGACATTAATTTTATCTGTAATTGTGAATAGAATGTCTCTTTGACTAAAGAGAACAATGTCTTGTCTCCACCAAAATATTGGGAAGTGAGAAAAATGAAATCTATTTTTTTCTCACCTTCCATTTTTAAATATACGGATTTAAGTTCCAAAAATAAAATTAATCATACTTTAGAATTTTGTAACACTACAGATATATGCCACTTTTATTGTTATTACCAAATGAATGAATAATTTTTTAGTTTTGTTTTTCACTTTTAAAGTTGTGCAATGAAAGAATAAAATTATTTACAAATTTCTTTTCCATAATGAGGCTTAAGATATTAGCTGCTAAAAAGATAGAACTGTAAACTAGAGACTACATGTTTCTAAATTAATGAAATTGAGGAAAGAAAACACGAAGAATTTTTATCTTTCTACAACCTTTCAACCTCTGTAAAAACTGGGGAAGTGCACAATTGAAAGCAGATATAGGATTATAAGATTAGAAGAAAGAGAAGAAGTGTTATTGGTTGAAATAAGTAGAATGCAAGTAAGAAGAGATGAAATAAAAGAAAAATGAAAGAAGTGCTTGGTGAAAGAAATAGAAAACAATTAGTTTTCAATTTAGCTGAAAAGTTTTTTTTCTTTCTTTGTCAGGTGTCTCTTTTTACTTCAAAAAAATTTTTTTTTAGTATGAATTTACTTCATTTTCTGTGGTATTATTTCATTTCAAGGGGAAAATTTATTTAAATACCATTTGCAAAGTTTTCCGAATCTAAACATTTTTTTAATAAAATTATTTAGTGATAAATAATTTAAATCATGTTAGCGTATGAGTTACTTAACGATCGGTTAATGAAGGAATAATTGCATATTGAGCATTATTTATGGAATCAAAAGTGAAGATAGAATATTCGTATCCAATTTCTTGTGATTCCACCCAAAATTCTGTGTTAAAATCATTTGCACATCAATTGCTATTTTAATATCAATGGTCTTCTATAACATGTCAACAATCCTTTAGCAGTATTCAGCACCTCTATTTGCCATATTTTTAAGTTGTTGAACTCTTGTAGGTGCTAGTGAAAGGGAATACAAGACCGGGGTTCTAATTATTACCTAAATATAATTATTTCAGAATGTATTTATTTGTGAAATTTCTGATGAGTGAGAGACCTGATAAATGTAACATTTGTGTTGTGAAACATTTGAAAACAAATAACCTAAATATTTTCTTTTATATTAATTTAAATTGTAATTGTAATATTCCTTTATCTCTACATTATGTTTTTAAGAATTTTATTTCTTTCATGAAGCCGTCTTCAGAGAATGAAGATTGCACGTATTATTCGTTATTTCCTTTTACCTGTCTTACTAGAAAGTAATGGTCTTAACCATTTACACATCGAAGCAATGAAATTAATAATAAAATTATTGAGGAAAAAATATTCAGTTTTGCAACCACTGTAATTGGGAACATTTGTTTTAAGATAGCCAATTATTGTTTCACTTATAAAGAAACCGTATTCAAAGATTCTCATAAATACTTATATTAATTTTATGTAGTACATATCACGTCAAGTAATTTATTCTGTTATAATGTCTTCTCGTTTTTGAGTAGGTGTATATTGTGGTTTAAAGGTTTGTAGTGTGGTGTTTGTGAATGCTTCCTTTTGTTTTCCTGAGTTACTTATAGGAATGGAGATAAGAAGACTTTAAGATTGTGTAAACACACTCGTGTTATTTTGTAGAAATATTTGTAAAAGTGCTATGAAGAGGACTTCATTATTTAGATTTATATAACATTGTTTCTGGAATTCATTTCACTTTCGTAATTTATTTTTGAACATCTTTTCATGTTACATCATCAGACATGATGTTCCAGACTAAGCACATCGGTAATTGATTATTTATTCTTAATACTATGTTTGCATTTTAGATCATTGCCTCCATCCATTTTTGTCACTAAACAATGAAAAATTAGTGCCATTTTTCAGATGTTTTGTGACAATTTTTGTTGGATGCGTAATAAGGAAGACAGGGTCATTTGCTGGATATGTTGTTTTATTAAATACAAATTGTTGTCCAATTTGTTTTTGCATATTTTTTTACCAAAAAATTATTTAGTACTTGATATTTTCCTTACAGTATTTAATTTTAAATAACCCAAATAAATCATAAATAATTTATATATGTAATATTAAAGTTTTCATGAAAATTATTCTTTTTTCAGTTAAAGGGAAGCAAGATAAGTATTTCATAGAGGAATTATGTCAAGGGTCAAGTTGGATATGTTTGTTTATGCAAGTTTTGAACATTTTGTTAACTTAATGAAATTGAAGTATTTGTAGAAGGAATTTATTTGTCAATGTTACTTAAGATATTGTCACAGCCTTATGGAATGTATTTACAGTTATGATGTGTGTAAATTTACGTATGATATTGAAGCTTCTTTTTTTTTCAGATTCTATTTATATATTCAAAAGAGAAGAGCTTTTGTGTTCAGTTAGAAATTTAATCTATAGTGCTGTAGGTGTATTTGTGTGAAATGATATTTATACAATTAAATGTATTTAAAAATTTAATATTTTTTTAAAATTATTTGCCCGTTTCCTTTTTCTTATTTTGTCTCATAATTTTTCCTTCTGAAAGTAAATATTCAGAAAAAGGAATAAAAAAGTGAGCCTTGGGCTAATATGTTTGTCGAGTTCTCTTTTGGCCTTGATGATGAATTGATGATGTGAAAGCGCTGGGCAGATTTTATGAAGAAACTAAATACACTTTGTTTTATCAATAATTCATATACCATGTATGAGCAAGCACATCTCGGCCATTACTTTGCTATATAACATAATCACACATTGCTGCAGGTAGGAGGCATGGTAGAAAGGAGTGGTGCTACAAATGGCTTTCCTTGGGTGTCTGTCTAGTGTAACTTTTTCCATGTGTGTGCAGTGCTGTGTTAATGCTAGGGCCCTCTATAGTTCTTACACAAATATATAATACCGAATTTTTCAAAAAAAAAATGAAATAAATAATAAAAGCTATATAAAAACGTGATGTATGATTAAACTATGCAAAAAATTGGCATAACAGTGATGTGTCGTGAGTGCACTGGATAATATAGTGCGCCAGGAAAGTCCCCGCACATGGCCGAGTCTGGGCCTCGCATTAAAAATTGCATTTATGTTGGTAGCAAACAGGTCACTGGGAAACAAATGAAAGGGACAACACTTCAAGCATCTGTAATGATTGTGATGAGTACACAATTTAGATCTTACAGGCTGTTGCTCGTGTTTCCAGCACAATTTCTATTACTAGCACTCACCAGCAAGATGCTACTGCGGAGAGACTTTCCTGGCACACTGTATTTGTAATATAATACAGTAAGTATAATACATTTTTTAACAAACACATTTCATTAATAACTTTCCTCCATAATGGAAAGGATAGGGAAATGATGGGGATGAACATGCGAGTGTTCTCGCACGGGTACGATAGTGCTACAGAAATAGTTACAGGAAACATTTTCTGACCAGTGGGGGCTCGTGCTAAGGGGGAAATATCCCCAATTAATCGAATAAATTTAATTGTATGTATGTAGTCGAGCGTGTTTGTAGAGAGATTTGACCGCCTTGGGCATGTTTGTTTGTCCTTAGTCTCTCGTGTATGTGTTGTCGCGGAGTGTCTCCCGTTGTGCTGGCCTCAGATCTAGAGAGCCCTCAAGTGTGTTGGTGGTTGGTATACGGTCGAATATGCATCCCAACCCGTAAAAGGAGAAATTGATTCGTGACTGAAGCCCAATCACATGACAGAAAATTAAGCAGAATGTGGTGCTCGAAGAACAATAATTTATGATAGCTAGTTCTGATTCCTACATAAATATGAACAAGAATCTCTGATTCGAAGGATAAAAAATTACAGTTGGCTTAGTTAATAGTGGACTATTTTAATGCGGATGTCCTATAAAATCCACAAACTCAATCACTTACCTTTAATAGCTTCGAAGGATTAATGAACTTACAAAGCGAGTCCACGCGTTGATTCTTGCAATTAGTTATGCTTACAGAGGAAAGTTGCTATCATTTGGGTGAATCAGTAGTCATAGTTTGAAACAATATGTAATTGAAGTTAAATTAATATTACATCGAGTTGCATTGACATTAACACATTTTCTCATGAAAACCTTTTGATTGGATTGTATGTGAACACGCAGGTGTTTGCAAAATTGAAACAATTGAAGGAAAATTATTTACGTTGACGTTTGATGGGACAAGATATAATTTGGAACATAGCCGTTTCGCTTATGCTGAAATAAAAGACACATGACATTGAACATATAGTCCATCATGATTAGTGTTGTGTTGAGATGCGCTAACACCAGTTGAGAGAGTCTTGTCACGCGCTCGCTAGAGGACACGCGCAGTGGGTCAGTGCTTGGGCGCCGTAAAATGCGTGCCAGAGCACGTGTGGACCTGAAGCTACCACATAATTACGTTGTCAGTGTGAAACACATTTTAGCGATGGAGAACTTGATGTGGCACATAACGATGAGACCGTGATTAGCAGCTCGTGCTCATAGTGTACTGGATACAAAGACTTCTGAAGTGGTTGCTTAATGCAATGTAATAGTTAATACATACAGTCGGTGCAATAGAATTACACAAGTTCAGGCATTGCGTGGCGCATAATTCACTGATCACGTAATGACCAAAGTGACTGCACGTTTACCGAGGCAGACGGCATGGCACAAGCACGTAAATGAGTTACAGTCAATTACCAATTATAATGTAATGCAGTTCACGCTACACACACTTAACTCATTGTGCCGCTTTCCGTCAATGTGCTACGCACATCAAGTGTATAAAAAGTCGGGAAGGAGGGAATTCCCCTACGACATGAGAGACAAGCCACCCCAAGATAGAATTCTACGTTGACAGCTGAAGCTCCTCTATACTGTGCCGCTGCCACGTCTAAATCGCGTGTCACAGATGAAGAGAATTTAAAACAGACTTGCGAATGCATTCATTTAATTAAGAATATCTAGAATCTATTTGCCGCACAGGAAAAAATGAGCATGAATTCCGTTTCATGCTGTGTATAATGCAAATTAACTTCACAGGCTGGAGAAATTTTCCGGTTAAGGCAGGTTTCCTGCTTGTACATGTTCCGTTTTAGACAGGTTTTAATGCTCTAGTTATGTTCCGTCGTCAACCCACACTTCACATTTCCTATTCATGAGGCTGGTAATGTGACACAGGACAGCAGCAAAAATGGCGCCGGCTCCTAGAAAGTGTGCAATAACCAAAACTGTAATCAAATTCATATTTTTCGGTGACGTAAGTTCCCAGCTTTTCGTGTGAAATGTACGTCGCAGTAGTCGAAAGTAAACTTAAAATGTGAATTGCTTAGTGACATCCTGCTCCGGTACTTTTCAGAATTTGTGATGGTGACGCGCTTGGTAAGAGGTTCGAATATGGCGTGAGTTTTCTATAAGCGATCACTCCAGTGCTCTCTGCGAAGCACGAAATGCTTCGGTTTCACATTCGTCAGAATTAATCAAGCGTGAGGCCAAAAGAGGTAGAATTGAGCCCACGTTTATACAAGATATTTTAGAACAACTTGTAAAGTGAAATTTTAAAGGGTCGTCATTTCCTTCCTCCTCTGAACTTCAGTAATGGACGGAACTCTGATTTTCTCTGAAGATTTTTATTTCAGTTACGTACATTTTTGAATAAGAATTATAAAAATGATAACAAGGAATTGTCACTGAGAATTAATCGGATGGATTTTACGTATTACATTTATGTTTTCCATATTTTTTATATTGAATTAGATTATACTCCTTCATTCCTAATGGAGTACAAGAGACAAATTAGCATGTTTGATAATTAAGTTTAAAGATTCACAGCATTTAATTATTTTTTTTTGTGTAATGATTTTTTTAGATAAATTCATCGGGTGGAGTGACAATCTTACATGTTTTGTAAACCCCTGTAAATATTCAATATGTTTAATTAACCCCTTTTCGAATAATGAATCTTTCAGTCCAAATAATGGAGTTGCGAGACAAAATTAAGTGGTTTTTAAACTAGTTAAAAAGATTCAAAATGTTTCAGTTTTATTCGAGTACTGTATCCTCCAAAATCATGTACAAAGAAAAAATTGCGTGGTTTATAAAGTAGGGTAAAAATTAAAGACATTTCACATTGTTTGGAATAATGTCCCGAAGAAGTGGAGTAGCAAGGCAACTTTAGGTTGGCTTATAACCAGTGAAATCCCTTCTGAGTACGTCGAAGAAACTTGAGGTGGTTTATAACCTGTGGAATTCATCAGACGATTAATTTATCCCTTCCGAGTACGTCGAAGCAAATTTTTTGTGGTTTATAAGTTGTGGAATGACGCCAGACGTTTAATTTAACCCCTCCGCGCGCACGCCGGCGAGCACCGCTAGAGCGCATGCGCGCGCTCCATGGCCGCGCATGCGCGTTGAGTGTCCGCGTTAGAAGAGCTTGGCGATGGTGGAGACGGTGAAGCCGCAGAAGTGGCGGCGCTCGGCGTGGTGCAAGGAGCCGAAGGGGTCGCGGTTCGACGGAGGCACGCCAGCGGGCCGGCACGGCGGCGGGCGGCAGGGCACGGGCCGGCGCGAGTTGCGCACCAGCAGGTACTTGGGCCACGGGATGTGCTCTTGTGGGTACAGCCTGCGGGAGGGAGGGCCGGTTGACTGTCATTTGAATCGTTTATTTCAGAAATCCGTCAAACGCGAAATTGATTTCTAGAAAACTGAGAAAAAGTCTTCCAATTTTTCAGGTTTCAACATCTTTTTATATATTAACGCAGTAGATAAATATATATTTTCATATAAATATGTACTAAACGATGAGTCTCTCCTCTTGGAACAATAATCCGTCGCTTATGCGCGTTTTAGATTTTGGCGCTTGACGGATTTCTGAAATAGAGGATTCAATTGATGTTTTTGAACACGTCAACTGCCGTGGTAATTATTTTCCGATTTAAACGTGGTGGCACTTCAAGGTCTAGAGCTGGAAGGAGGGGGGGACATTGCCATCCAACAGCAAAAAATTAAATTGTAACGAAACTCCCGATTGGAAGAGAGTATTCCGTTCTCTATGCAGTTCGGGACTTTGATGTGCCTCTATATTTAAATCGAAGTATTGTCCTGTATGGGTAGTGAGTGTTTTTATGCGAAGGTGGCGATGTTCCTCTCTCCTGGAAGGTAGATCCGGTGCCAACCTAGACGTCAGCTTACTGGGAATTTCCCCTTCCATATATCTATCACAGTGGGGGACTGTTGTCATTGTTTGAAAAAAGACATATGTACTTCAATGATGTACTTCGGTTTCCGGGGCAATGACCCCCATCTCGATCAGGTTTTTGTCCTGTTTTCGTGATACATTGAGCAAATGATGAAACGGCTCCTTATTTTCTTTCTAGGCGTAAACGTAGCTTCACTATGCGCACGTTTTGTTGAACTCTCCTTTTGCTTGTAATGGTAGGAGAAGAGGTAAGGGCAAGTTACTATTTTGTAAGCAATGCAGAAAAACCATACTTGCGATTTGTTTACCGATGCAAATAAGCTT